CTCCTTTATCATATATTAATTGACCATATATGTTTGGGTTAATGTCTGGAGTCTCTATTCTGTTCCACTGGTCTGTGGGTCTGTTCTTGTGCCAGTACCAAATTGTCTTGATTACTGTGGCTTTGTAGTAGAGCTTGAAGTTGGGAAGTGAGATCCCCCCAGCTTTATTCTTCCTTCTCAGGATTGCTTTGGCTATTCGGGGTCTTTGGTGTTTCCATAAGAATTTTTGAACCATTTGTTCCAGTTCATTGAAGCCCATGTTTTAATTTTCTGAACTTTGTCACTTGGTTATTTACTTCGGCTGGGAGTGCTTCTAAACCTAGCGTATAATACTGTGGAGCATGTGGTCATTACAAAGTGGAAAACTGCAAAAGAGCAGAAGTGACCAATGCTTCCTCAACACAGAGAGAGAACTTATCTGTGATCAGATCCCTTCCTTGAATTGAAAGCCCAACCACTTGAGTGAAATACACTTCTCTTATTTATAGCTTGGGGATACATCCTTCTGATCACGTGGCTTGTGGTAGCTGTGTGAGAACGTGCTTTATGAGCCATGTGGGGCTGCTCTGTGGTTCCTCCGTAGTCCTTCCGATTCCTCTGCAGTGATGAGTTTGTGTCCCAGACTTTTAGTCAACTGGATTTTTGTCTTTCTTGGGAAGACAGGACAAGACGTGTCGTTTCACTCTTTGCTGGACTTGTGGCTGAAGCTGTAAACCCACAAACTGTCCTGTGCACGATTGTATTAAACTGTATCTTGACAACCTCCTCAGCTAGTTTACTCTGTATAAGTGGGGACTGGGCTTAGTTACCTTTACATTTTAGCACCTAACATATGTGGAATTCAGTTCTGTGTGGATTGACTTTGTTTCCTGCGTCATTGATTCCTTAAGAAGCTCATGTGGCAGAGATGTACAGAAATACACACCCTGCACCTTGCTTTTAGTGTGGGGTGGAGGATAGTCCTCTCCCTAACTGGTTTTAAATTCATTTCTAATTACAATCTGGGTAACATTTACACATGCTTTTATTCCCTTGGAGAAGGAATTTTGATTTAGATGTTTGTGCTTCAGCAACTGCAGTTCCTGGGAATGTGAGGATCCAAGAAATCAGCCAGTCTCTCTGCAGGGCCCTCTGAAATAACAGTTCTCCTTGATCTGTTAATTACATCATTGTCTGACCTGCCTTTAAGTGGCGTTCCTTCCTGCTTCTGAGCTTTGTTGTTATGCCAGGCAGGGGGAAGAAAATCATTCATCAGAGCTGTATGAATAATTGTGGGAGGCAAGGGAACCACTGATTAAAAAAGGGGTGGGCAGGGCACAGTGGTGGTGCTGAGGGGGAGCTGCCCTGGCGCAGGTGAAATCACAGTGCCACAAATGCCGCTGAGCTCTTCCCCTCAGAGGCACTCCTACCTTCTTTGAGAAGTTTTTATTGCCAGGAAAGCTGGGAACGGACTTTCTCCTCTTGGGCCTTACACTGTAGTGGCAATGAGAACATGGAAAGAAGACAAGGAAAAAAGAAATGTGCTTTTTAGAAAATGGATGGGCATTTTGCATATGTTGAAACCTGTCATCCCAGATTCCCTGTACTGTGTAGGGTTTAGAGTTAGCTTATCGTGATGTCATGTCCTTTGCTGGCCATGATCTCATATCTCTTTCCGTAATTTCTCCTATATATTGTTTAGGAAAAAATATGAAAAGAGTTGTTTTACCATAAGAAGCTTGCAGCTGTATAAGGCAATGGATGTGTTCACTAACCTTATTATGGCAATCATTTAGCAAAATTTATATATGTATGTATCATATCATTATTGTTTGCCTTTATATTATGTATGAGTTACATCTCAAGCTGGAAAAATTAGATCTTATTAAATAGTTGTAACAAACTTTATAATTTAATTTCATAGAGCAAAGAGACTGCCTAGAAAACCATTCTTGCTAATATTTAGAATGCTTGTGTCCTTTCATCCAAAAAAAAGTTAAAAGGGATGTATTTACATGTCAGTTCCAGTTTTGCAAGATTAACAATCTCTGGGTCGCAAAGTAATAATTTTATTGCCGTCTGGAAACTGTTGAGATGAAGATGTAAAAACTAAGAAATTATAGACTGAAGTACTGTTTTGTTTCTTGATTTCCTCTGACTGAAGCCGGGAAGCAGTGGGGAAGAGCACAGAAGTCCCCTTTCCTATCACAGGAGGCAGAGAGAGAAACACGTTGTACCTCACAAAGCCTGAGTCGGTAAATATTTACTTTCATCCCATCTAAGAATTAAGTATTTCTTGGGTTTGTTTCTACTAAAGAATTGTTTCTGATCTATTTAATTTTTTTCAAATAATGACAAAGGGTCCTACGTGATGCTCCGAGTCTACTCACTGGCCTTTCAGCATTATTCTTTAAAAAATAATTAAATAGATACACAATGTACTTGAGTAATTACACTTCTGTGGTAACTGGGGAGGCTGCTGGTGTTCCCCTTTGCTCAGGCCATCTCAGGGTGTCGACTGGAAGTGCGGCCTGGATATTCCCGGGTGCGCCCTTGCCCATCTCCTGCCTGCCTGATTTGAGAGTGGGGCAAAGATGAAGCGGGTAGTAGAACCGTGAGGCTGGCCGGTATGGACGTCTGCGGGAAGGCCGGCCCCACCGAGCACCAAGTCCCGCTGCCCTTGCTGCTCTACCAGCCAGCTGATCTACCTGCCATTCCAGATGGTATTTAGGGTAGAACGTGAGCAAACGGCCAATGTCAGTACCATCTGAGTTACTGATATTTTCTGTGAAGAAAGTGAGCCGGCAGCTGAAGAAATCACTGTGTCGGGCACAAGTGCCAAGTTCAACACGGCAGTGATTTCCGACGGGTTGAGTGGACACTGATTGCTGGGCATGCTGTCCCTGGTTGGTTCTGGAGAGCTTTCCTCCCCAGGTGCCTCTGGACAGCTCTGTCTTTCTGCTGTGTCCGAGCACTGGCTTGCTGAGAATCTCCCTGCCTCACACACACAGCAGCAGCCTTGCCTCCACCGCCGCCCTGCATGAGCACCTCTCCCCTGTCAGCTCCTCCCATAGTCATGCGTCCGTATCTTTTGTCCAGCTCCCTGGGTGACTTAGTGCCTTCCATGAGCACATTAACTTTTGGAGAATATCCCTGTGTCTCCTGTTTTATCTCTTGTTCTTGAGTGAGTCTCCGACTTGCGTTGCGTAGCCTGGAATTAAGACCTTAGCACAGATCTGCTGGATTTTTACATACGTTACATTCTGTCGCGTCAGTAACATCCACTGATGCACTTGGGTAGCTTTCTATTTCCCTTCGTCTCTTTAATTATGTTTTATCAATTTATTTAAATTTTAAAGTTTTTACAGAATGGTGAAAAAATGCCAAAGTAACTAGATAAGTAACCTCATAAAACATTATTCTTTCCATCACATTATGTTTTTGTGCGATGGAATTACTGCTGTGATTTTGGGTACTGAAACAGGCATGAACTCCATTAGTTAAAAATACTTTGAATGTTGGCTCCCCTACCTTCTGCATTTTTGGGGCAAATTGGTTTTTCAGCCCCGCAGTAGAATATGAAAATTCCTTCTACACCTTTTGCTTCCAGCACAGCTTCTAACGTATTCCTTTCTTAGGCAACCTTAATGAAAACACGCGAGGGAAAAAGTGGCTTTCCTATCAGAGATTAAGTACTTGCTTCTCAGCCAATGAACACTGCCGTGCAAGAGACACTCCGGGTAGCAGAACTGCCAGTTCCCCTTTGCTGGTAATTCAGTGCAGAACCAGATGTTTTAGAATGCCTCGCCCCCCTGCGTGCCTCCGCCAACTTGTCCTGTCTTGTGGCCAGTTATCTTTAAGCAAGTGATACTTGTATGGTTTGGGAGAAGTCTGTCCTCACCACCACACCCCTAACCTTGCCACCAACTTCAGAAACTTTTCAACAGGGCCCCTTGCATTGTCTGCCAAAATCATTTTCCACTGGGGTCTTAACACCCAATAAGAGTCTCCCTCACATTTGCCATGATTGTAAAAGTAGTTACAATTGTTACTGTTGTGAATCAATCAGTAGCAGGGAATGTTCCAGTCACTTTCATATTTTAGGTAAAACATGAGTCATAAGGCAAACCAAGTTGAGCAAGCCAGAAGAATGGGTTGCTGGCCCCCTGAAACGGACTGGGTGTGAATTGTCTGTGTCCATGAAGATGTGATCCCCTGAAAGGGGCAGGAGAAGCTGTACTTGTGTTTCCCCTGGGCACCCACCCACTGCGAGCTTCATGCCACTTACCGGGATTTGCGTGGGAGTTGAGTTTCTACTGTGGCTGTTTTTGTGTTGTGGAGACCGGGGAATCTCAATAAGCCATTGACAAATCTCCAAGTGGGGAGGGATTCTTTAGAAACTTAGGGATCCTCTGATTATTGCTTGGAGAGCTCGATTTCTAATCAATGGTGAAAGGATTTCTTGTTTGATATTCCTTTTTTTGTGAAGTGCTCGCTATGTGGCATTTATTTTTAAAGCATTCATTATTGATTTTGCCCAAAGTGAAACCCCAAACTACATCATGGAGAAGCCTTCAGTTTCTGCGATGGTACCTCGAAGGCTGCTGAGCGGAAGGCCAAGGCCACCCGGCCTGGGCCTCCAGGACTGCCTCAGCCAGCACCAGTCTACTTTCTTTCATACAGTGGCATTTACTTAAACCTTTGGTTATACAATAGTCCATTGCTTTAAAAATGCTGGAAAGCCATCCCTTTAGGGAGTGGGTGTTTTTGTACACAGGAAAATAAGCCACCTCTTTTTGAAGACTCATTTTGGATTGTTCACATCTCAAGAGATGAAATATGCGACTTCCTTCTTCTGTCCCGTGCAGTCACAAGTACTGCCTCGACTGGCATGCTTGGAATTTTCTTTGTTTAAAGAAAATAGATCTTTGCTTTGTAAAAGGTTTCTACACCATAAAAATATTTTTGTTCATAAAAATATATTTTGAATTTATGTACATATTTTAAACCACTTTACTGAGTGTGATTGACAGACAAAAAGCTGTGCATATTTAATGTATACAACCAGTGTCCATCCATGAACAGCATATGCCTGTAGTTAACCACACTGTACTGTATCCTTAAAATTTTGCAAAGAGGGTGGATCTTAGGTTAAGTGCTCTTATCACATATACACACAAAATGATAAATAAAGGGGCAGGAAAAGACTTTTGGAGGTGATGGATATTTTTATATTTTTATAACTTTGATTTCATAGTCTACCGCATGTAACTCCCAAACGAGGAAGTAAAAAGTAACGTATCTGGCAAGAGACAAGATAATGTTTAGATGGCCTCAACACAATTTCTAGTTCCGCCTTCAAAAGAAGACTGCTTCTCAGAGATAACCTTCAAAGCAGTATCCAATTATGTCTTTATTTTCAAGCACATTGACTGGCCTGTTAAATGTCTCTTTCTAAAAAATGATACAGGTGGAGACTGTGAGAAATAATTGACTTTCTTGAAGAATGCCTAGATCTTTTGCTAGGTTGGAACAACATAATAGATTTATCTATTCACAACACCTTCCTCCTAACAGGCTCTGCTCTTAAGAGTAGCACTTGTGGTGTGGGGCGCTCTGGCCTGTGTCTGTCATTTCCTGTCTTCCCGACTTAGGAAGCCCTTAGTGGCTTCTTTTCTTCTTGTTTGACTTGGAATCTCTCTTTTTGAGGGGGAAGATAATTCAGAATTTGTTGGATGAGTGGGAAAAGAGAGATGAGAAGACAGAATTTGTTGAGACTATGTGTGTTACAAACTGGGGAGTTTTGGAGAAGCAAATGGTGCTAGTCGCCTAAGTGTAAACTGGGAAGGGGGGGGAGGTAAAAGCGTTCACTTTTACCTCTAATGGACCCTAAAGAAAGGTTTTTTTTTTTCTTTAAAAAACTTCAAAATCCTGGATTTGGCATGCAGGTTGATTTTAATTTAATTTGCTTTGGGATGATAGCTCATCAATAGTTAATCGAATTAAGAACACTGTCTTGAACCTTAGGGGCCTTTCCCAAGAAATATCAAATTGGAAGCCAATCATTGGTATCATTGGGTAGCTTTCTGTTTAATGTATTTCTAATCAAGTTTTCTGTTACTACTCAGGAGCAGGCGAAAATCCTTAAACACTTCAGATTACTGGAGTTAACTGTTGACTCTGGTATGACATTAACAAAGTTAGTACAGTTAGACCTCATAGATTTTTTTTCTTTCTGTCTAAGGAGATTTGTTTTTTCCTCCCTAGCTTTTGTTCTTTTGTATACTGTATATTGAGATTTATGCCACTGTGGGGCTATGTATCAAATGCTGAATATGTGATTTCTTTTGCTCAAAAATTGGAAGAGAATCTGATTCTTATAGAGGGAGAGAATATATATTTACAATTATTTCTATGGTACAACTTACTAGAATTGGCCACAGTCTTTTAAAATAGTGAGAACTTTAGGAGTTTGCTGTGATTTGGTTAGAACATGAAATTTCTTGATGTGACAGAAACGATGGATACGCAGGAAGATTGTTTTCACAATTTGTTTACCTCTTTTAAGGGCATTCTGAATAAAAACAATCTAGTGGAAGGGCTTTGGTCATAGTTTTTATTTTTCAGTGTAGACATACCCTTTCTCGCAGTCATGCTGTGTGTGGAGATGAATATTATTACCCTTGTGCCATGTCAGTGACCTTCTAGTAGCAGCAGTCCCAGACTTCACTTCTGTTTCCCTCTCTTGCTGCCCTTTCCCCCTTTTCTCTCTTTCTGCCCCATCCCTCCACAGAATGTCCCCTTGTGGGGCAGCACTGCTGTGATGGGCCAGGCCCTGGGCCTGGCCTCGGAAGATGGGAGTTTTGAGCTTTGCTGTGCCACATACAAGCTCTGAGAACTTGGGCAGATTACTTCTCAGGACCTCAATTCACCCATGAAATGAAGGAAAGAATCATCATGGTTACAGAAGATTAAATGAAATAATGTATGTGAAGGAATACAGTCAACACCGACACCCCTATTGAATTTGTTTTTTTTTTAATTGGGGTAAAATATACATAACATAAAATTTAACATTTCAACCATTTGAAGTGTTCAGTTCATTGGCATTAAGTACATTCCTAATATTGTGCAGCCGTCACACTGTCCGTATCTAGAACTTGTCATCATCCCAACAGAAACTCTGTGCTTCCCCTGCTCCTCCCCCTGCCCCTCCCCCTGCTCCATCCCCAGCTCCTCCCCCTGCTCCTCCCCCTGCTCCATCCCCAGCTCCTCCCCCTGCTCCTCCCCCAGCTCTTGGTAACTGTCTTCCTACTTCTGTCTCTGTGAATTTGCTGTAGGACCACATGGAAATGGAATCATATAATATTTAGCCTCTTGTGTCTGGCTTATTTCACTGAGCATGTCCTCCAAGTTCATCTGTATTATAGTCTGTGTCAGAATTTCATTCCTTTTTTAAGGCTTATTTCTTGGTATGGATATACCACATTTGTTTATACATTTATCTGTTGATGGACATTAGGATTATTTCTACCTTTTGTCTATTGTGAGTAATGCTGCTATGAACACTGGACTCTCTGAGTCCCTGTTTTTAGTCCTTTTGGGTATACACCTACAAATGGAATTGCTGGATCATAAGATAATTTAACTTCGTAAGTGACATCCAATCTTTAAGTTTTTAAAAAATCTATTGAATTGGTCACAGTCAAGTGGCTCCTAGATGGTGTGCTCTTTCATAGCAGTCGTAAGTCCCAGAGTTCATATGATCTGAGTCAGGGTAGGGAGTCACCTGATTCCATGACTTAGCAGTACTGTGCTAAGATGGCAGGGGCTCAGAAATGCATTCATTATACATGCATGGAGATCGTGGAGGGTGAGGGCGAGGGTTTACTCTGCTCGTGCCCAGAGGTGTTGGTCAAACAAGAGCTGTATCCATGGAGATAACATTTTCTGCTGTGGACCTTTCTGTAGGGATTGAGGAGACCCAAGAAGGCTGGTGGGCTCAGCCGGCGATCTCCACTGCCTCACCATGACCGCTGAGAATCCAGAGCCTGGAGACCTGGCCCTGGCGCCCCTTCTCACCTGCAAACTCTGCCTGTGTGAGCAGTCTCTGGACAAAATGACCACGCTCCAGGAGTGCCAGTGCGTCTTCTGCACAGCTGTAAGTTCTCTCTGATGCTCTCATCACGAGAAATACGAAGGGAGGAGTCGTAGAAGTGCAGGGTGCATTTCTGCGGCTCACTGAGAAGCCAGGTGTGCCCATGTGATCCTGTCTGGTGAGCAGCCCTACATCTGGATCTGTATCCCAGCGGTGTCTTGATTAGTAAGTCTGATATTTGTGCATTGTTAGGCAAAGTGTAATGTGTGTGTGAAATTTAATTATTGGTTGAATAAGCAGTGTCTTTTTTTGTTCTGAAAGTTCTAGCTAAGGAACAAAACAGACACATTTTAACCTTAGTTAAAGGCCTTAGTTAAATAGCACCTGAAGAAGCCCATCATGTAGTTGGAAGGATGGAGAAATCAGGTGGCAGCTCACTGAATTTTAGTTCATGTATTTGCTTGTCTCCTACAAAGCACACAGGACACAACTGTTTTACTTTGTCATACCTCCCTTTTTCCCCTGTTTTCACCATATGCTGGATGCTGCTTATTCCATAATGACAAGAACCCATGGCTCTCCAGGGCTGGGCTTGTCCCTTTTACTCTGGTACTTGGTGTCAAGGTGGTGGCCTTCATTGTCCATCTGCCTGAAGGTTGGCTGGTGACAGTGTAAAGATAAGAACAGACTGGTGAGTTCAGAGTGACTGCTAGGTGTGCAGACCTCGGTGGTCTTATTCACATTTTTATTTAAATGTTTTTTGAGCTCCTGCTAAGTACCAGGCACCCTGCTGGTTGCTGGGATATGAAGAGGAAAAAGGTACTTCCCACAGGGTGGAGGGACCCATGGCAGGAGAGCGGGCATGGCTCCGGGCAGCACTTGGGCGGGCCATCCATGTTCTTGCAAATAGCAGGATTTCTTTTCTTTTTATGGCTGAATAACATTTCATTGTGTATATGTACCATATCTTCTTTTCCATTCATCTGTTGATGGACTTAAGGAGCAGCTTAAGTTGCTTCCATATCTTGGCTATTGCAAACAGTGCGGCAATAACATGGGGGTGCACGTATCTTTTTGAATCAGGGATTTTGTTTTCTTTGGCTAAATTCCTAGGAGTGGAATTACTAAGTCAAATGGTATTTTTATTTTTAGTTTTTTGAGGAACCTCCATACTGCTTTCCACAGCAGTTGCACCAACTGACATTGCCACCAGCAGTGTCGGAGGGTTCCCCTTTCTCCGCATAAAACCAGCATTTGTTATTTCTTGCCCATTGGATGTTGGCCATTCTGACCGGTATGCAATGATATCTTATTATAGTTTTAATTTGCATTTCCCTGATGATTAGTGGTGTGGAGCATCTTCTCATGTGCCTGTTGGCCATGTGTATTTCTTCTTTGGAGAAGTGTCTGTTCAGGTCCCCCGTGTATTTTTTGATTGAATTATTTGTTTTTTGAGTTGAGGCTTGTGAGTTCTTTATATATTTTAGATGTTAACCCCTTATCAGATGAGTCATTTACGAATATATTCTCCCACACTGTCGGGTGCCTGTTTGTGCTGCTGATGGTGTCCTTTGTTGTACAGAAGCTTTTTAGTTTGATGTGGTCCCACTTGTTCATCTGTTGTTTTGTTTTCCTTGCCTGAGGAGATGTGTTTGAATCAGCTACACTTTTAAACTAAGGATGGATTAGGAGTCATTCAGGAAGAGTGCTGGGTGTCTCAGCGTGTTGGAGGGGAGGACCTGAGGCCGAAATTATATATTTACTATTTTTTTTGTTTAGGTAAGCCTTATACAGGGAGACTGTTAATATTTGTTACATAGCAAATACAATAATCACTAGGCAAATGTGGGTTAATGCCCTGACTTGTGAAGGAAATCAAAGAGTTACAGGTGTTTAAATCAAGGGGAGGAAGGGGAAGGGGTCATTTGGGAAGTAGAATCATTTGTAAAGAGGCATGTTTCCTAAGTACATTTTTCTTAATACAGATAAATTAAGGGGGAATAAATTTTACTCCATCTCTTTTTTTTTAGCTTGATCAGTGATGCATTTTCAAGCTTGTTTCTATCAATTCTTTAAAAAAACATTGTTTTTTTGGATCGAGGGTTAGGGCAGGGAGAAGTCTGGGAATGGCTTCCAGGTGAAAAGGGACATGGCTGAAGTCTTTTCCTTGTGTGTTGAACTCTGGGAGGGATCCAAACACGGCGAAGCATGGCATTGTTTATCCGTTGATTCAACAGGTACTTAGTGATGCCTGAGTCCCAGAGTTGTTCTAGGCGCTGGGATTGATCAGTTAGGGGAACGAGCCAGCAGAGGCCTTGCTCTTGGGAGCTTATATTCCATCAGCGGAAGTTAAGTAATAAGCAGTAAACATAATAAATGGGTCAGTTACGTAGTACTGGGTAATAAGGGCTTAGGGAAAATGTAGAGCAGGGTAGGGGAGGCTAGGAGAGCTTGGGAGGGACGTCGCTGCCCCAGGAGGCCGGGGAGGAAGCCCCCCGAAGCGACATTGATACCGCCGCTTCCTTATCTTGCCAGCATGTGTCACTTTGTAGGAAGTGAGGAAACGGCCTTGTCATCACGGGGCAGCGGCAGTTTCCTTCGGTCTTGCTTCGCTTCTGAGTGCTGAGCTTCAAACATGAGTACGTCTCTGCACTTCTCACAGGTGCCTTAGGTCCGTCCTGCTCCTGGACGTGATGAGTCAGAAGCGACATTTGGCTGGAGACAGGATGGAAGTGTTTGTCCAGGGGTTTTTGTTTCAAAGCAGCCTAGGAAAGTCCGTGTTTTTGCTGCGAGCTCTGATAGTGTACCGTTCAAGTTTGTGTGCCAAGGTTGGGTAAAGAGCACACGAAGGCTGTGGTTTGTACACCCAGGGCGCTTGCACTGGATCTTCGTTCCTGATTAAAAACAGCACAACTGCTTCTCATGTCTCCTTCAGCAAGGGGGGCAGGGTGGGAGCTGGGACCATTACATTATTCTGTCATGTAGATTCATACTTCCCCATAGTGTGGAAAGCAGAAAGTCAAATGGTGGTGTATTTTTGGTGTCTGTCCAGCCTTGGAACTTTTAGTAAGTACAAGCATTGACTTCCCTGGCTGCCTGATATGTTCCCAGCGGTCTGCCTCATATAATAGTAAGCTGTGTTTGAGTACATTAGTGTCTGTAAATCTGCAGTTTGGAATCAGACTTCCCTGAAATACTACTCTTTCTGTTAGAGCTTTTAGAAAAACTACTTAAAAATGTGTCTAATCTTTCCCCCCAAGATTTTAATTTGCACTCAGAGTCATCAAATGTGTTTTGTGTTTTTGAGGCTGAAAAGACATTTATGACATCTTAAAATATGCCATATACAACTAATTGCCAACTTTAAATATGATTAGATGGTGTCTCCCAGTTATTGGCTGGGAAAGACTTCTGGTGAGGACCATATATTTAAAATAGTGATGCCAAGGTAGTTCCCCCCGCGGCCGAATACCCAAATGTTGACAGTGTTTCTGCTAGATGAGGCGCGTTATGATACACTGGCATATTTTCGTAGGTCTAATAAAGCTTTTTAAATACATTCTATCCTTGTCCTGTTTTTCCTAGGAGGCATTTTTGTTTCCAAGATCAGTGTGCTCTAGGAGTGCCGAGTGAGCCGACATGGAGGGTCCGAGCTGGCCATCGGCTATTTCCCAGCTTTTTAGGGAGACCTGGTGTTTAAATAGCTGCTCTATCCCCAGTGTGTTCCGTGGGCCTCCAGCCTGTGAGGTAGATGCAGTCCTTGAATAAAGTGTTCTATAGTCAGGTTAGCTTGGACGCTGTTACGTTGTCTCTGCTTCACTTGGAAAGACAGATGCATATTTGCATTTAGAGGCTCTGCGAAATCTGTGGTTAAAAGGAAAGCAAGGGGACACTGTTTGACTTCGGAGGAAACATCGCCATTTGGCCGTGCCACCGTTCTAGTGAAGCGCCTCTTAAGCCCCCCCCCCCCCAAGCAGTGCTCTGAGCTCCTCTCCCATGTAGGTTGTTCTCGATTTTAATGACATCCAGAGAAAAGAGTGACAGACATTGCTTCAAATAATCCATGAATATATCTAGTTTCTTGTTAAAGGAAAGTCTGAATGTTCTACTCGTCATGAGGGTTTCTGGTAGACTATTTGCTCAGTTTTATATACAGAAGAAAGCACAGCATAAAGCAAAGGAAGCTAAGTATGCAGAACAGAATGGGCGTCTCTCTCTCACCGGCGTGACTGAGTCACAGGTCATCAGGGGGCTCTGGGGCCGAGGAAGTTGGTATTTCGGGGTTATGGAGAGAGGTGTTGCCGAGTTACTGGTACTTGAAGGGCACATTTCTCTGGGATGTTAGTCTAGTATTTCATGATATGCAAAAAGCCCTCTCTCTGTTTTCTGCCTGGGGATTTAAATAACCCAAATATAAAAATTCAAATTTTCCTTTTCTGGCTTTGGCAACACATTCTTTCATATAATGCCACACAATTATAATTCAAGTGAAGGAAAAAAATTCACAGAAGTCAGTTATCAAAGGAGGGAAAATTTGTGGGTTTGATCCTTGTGAGTAATGTTTGCCTCTTTGGTTTATTTTGGAAACTCTTTCTGTCAGCTGTGAATTAAAGAATCACGAAAACACAGTTGTTGCTTGTTTTTATAACCTAGATAATTTCACCTGAAAAGAGCTGGTATGTTGGGCATGGCCTGTTTACCTTTCAGATTAAAGCCAGGATATGCTGAGCAGCAAGAAAATAAAGTCCAGCCATATTTCTGGCCTTTTTTCCATTACGATTTGTTGGCGCTAAGTAGCTAGAACTTCTTTTACCATTCATTCCTCTGAGCCAAATGGATTTTCCAATGTTTAAAAAAGTGAGAGGAAATATAAAACTTTTCAGACCAAGCCCTTCTTTTCCTTGGGGGCCTGTTGAGTGACCTTAAAGAAAAGCCTACCTGTGTCCTGGGAGACATTTACAGGTTGGGGAGATTGGCAGTGCGTGTGTACATGCCTGTGTGTGTGTGTGTGTGTGTGTACGTGCGTGTGTGCATGTGTGTGTACACATGAGAGCCCACATGAC